GATTTTTTACAGAGAGGAAGGGAGAGAGATAGAGAGTTAGAAACATTGATTAGCTGCCTCCTGCACACTCCCCACTGGGGATGTGCCTGCAACCCAGGTACATGCCCTTGACCAGAATCGAACCTGGGACCTTTCAGTCTGCAGGCCGATGCTCTATCCACTGAGCCAAACCGGCTTCGGCTTTCTCTAAATTTTGATAGAATTCCTCAGTGATATTACCTGGACCTGGAGATATCTTTTTTTGGAGGTTTTTAAATTACAACTTTAGTTTCCTTAATAGTTATAGGGCTATTCAAATTATCTACTTCATATTGGATTTTGTCTACTATGTCAAGTTTATATGTTGAGTTCATGGTATTCCTTTTTCTCCTTTTGATGTCTATAAGGTCTTCAGTGATCTCCCCTGTTTCATTTCTGATATTGGTAGTTTGTCTTTTTCTGTTCGGCTTACTAGCGGTTTGTCAATATATTGATCTTTTCAAAGAACTTGTTCTTTTTTCTGTTTTTCTGTCTTCATTTTCATTGTTATCTGCTTTGATCTTTATTATTTCCTTCCTTTTGCTTGCTTTGATTTTATTTTGTTCCTCTTTTTCTAGTTTATTGATATACGAGGTTGGATTATTGATTTGATATCTTTATTCTGACCAAGTTAATGTAGCCTACTTTGTGTGTACCTGCCAAAGCATACACATTCACATTGTGCAGTGGCCCACAGAGCAGTCGCCTCTGGATGATATTCATTTATGCTACTTAACTGCTCAAATATCTGGGTGCCTGCATGTAACAGACCTCACGCAAGATGCCAGGTATAGGGATCCTTTCCCTTGTGAACCACAAACCCAGCCATCAGTCCGTGGGTAAATTTGCCCATTTGGATCTAATGTCAGATCATTGGAATCTCTGATGAGGTATTTACAAATGTTTGCATGGAGCATGCTGTGGGCCAGCGTAGGCCCAGTACTCCACACACAATGGACACACAGGGAGGTGGGGCTCAGATGTGCACTGTGCTGAGGTCGGGGTGATAGGAAGCTATGTGGGCCCAGGGTTAACTCCTATCACCACTTAGAGCCTCCCAAGCCTGTGGGATAATCTTCTGAAAGCACTCATACATTCAAGGAGGCATTGGTTCTTAGAAAATCAAGGGTCTGGGCCAAATTGAATGGGAAAGTTGTGTGATAAGATTAGGTAATTCTGGTCTTCCTACTCATACCTCCAAGACTGTAAGGTGTGGTTACTATGCAATGAGATGAAAGATAATCTTTGGAAGCCAAATTTAAACTAATATCTTAATCGATTAGTTTAATCAATTAAACTTAATATCTGTACCGATCATCACATTTAATATTCAGTCAGACTTCCCTCTCCTGGTGCTTCATGGAAGGTTTATCATCTGATTGTGCTCTTTGCCTCAAGCATCTCCTTTATTTATAATGCCATTATACCACTTGTCAGGAAGTTTTAAATATGGGTGTTCTGTTTTCTAATAATCTCTTCCTGTGTATTTCTGACTTACAGCAGATTCAAAGTGCCATCACAGGCACTCTCAGCCCCCAAGGAATTGTGGTGCCTGCATCCGCGCTGCAACAGGGTAATGTAACTATGGCAACAGTGGCAGGTATGGTGATGGAAAAAAGGACACCTTTTCCTTGAGCTTTTGCAGAAAAAGTCCTTCATAGTAGAATGGAGACTTGCATAAACATAATTTTTAATTAATGCCAGTTCCCTAATAGGAGTCCCAAAATCTAGGCTTCTTTGAATGCTTGTTTCTTGTTAATTCTCAATGACAAAAACTTTATGCAAATTGTTTCCCTACCAAAAAATGTTGGGAAGAAAGGTTTTGTATAAGAGTTGAAACTATATAGCAAAAACTAATTGTAATTTTCAAATAACTGTTTTTAAATGTGCTCTTAGCAGCACCTGAAAAATCTTAAGTTGTGTCATTAATTGATGACAAGCAAATAAAAATGCAGTCTTAGTCTTGATCTAACTTATATGATAAAACCATCACAGGAAGGGGACAGATTTTCAAGTTGCCTGTTGCACCTAGAACATTGCAAATACAAGACCATCATGAAAATATAAGGAGGGGAAGCAATTTACACTAAAAACCCCTTGTAATAGCACAAAGGGAAACCTCCACAGCAAAATAAAGCACATTTGACCAAAAAGAGAAGCTTAATAAAAATATTTGTCATCTGGTCCTTTGATATGTTCTAATTGTGAGGGAAGTAAAAAACGGGGGCAAGCAAAAGGCAAGGAAGTGCAGACCCTCTGACCTGGCCGTGCCCTGTGCACTGTTGTGAGGACAGTAGGGATGCCCGTCAGCATAGTGTCACCTGGGCACTGCTTGTGCAGTGAGTTCGCTTTCATAATTTACAGTGACAAGTCAGCAAGCAAAGTATCAATCATTTGAAGTGATGTAAAAAGCTCATCAAACTAGAGTTTTTATTTCTTTGATAGTTTAGTGAGAAGATTCGTCTTAAATCATTGAGACATAAATTTAATTTTTTTTTCTTCTTCCTTTTTGAGGTGGCACAGTTTATCAGCCTGTTACAGTCGTCACTCCTCAAGGCCAAGTAGTGACACAGGCGTTGTCACCTGGGACAATCAGGATCCAGAACTCCCAGGTGTGTGAGCCATTTGGCAGGATTGGGGAATAGGGGGATGTGTTGCACAGGTGTGGAAGTGTGGGTGGCAGCAGGCTGGAGCCATTCTCTCTGGGTGAAGATAACTTATCTCATACTCGCTCTCCTGCAGCGACCTCCAGTTAATCTGAATGTCAGTATTTTGTTTCTTTTTTACTCTTCACATCTATCATTGTAAAGTTGCAAAGTTCAGAAAAGTCTAAGGAAGCAGAAAAAAAGTCATCTGTTATTCCTTCCCTTAAGCAACCACTGTTCTCCAATTTAACTCTGGATTGTGTAGTTGTCTCTGCACCAGGAGATTTGAAGCCATGTGGACATGCCCTTCTCCCCCGCCTCCCCTCCAGGCCCCAGCAGAACCGCAGGCAGGTTTTTGAGACCATGCCTGGCTGCCCCACACCTCCAGCATGAGAGTATTGGCCGGGTTTGGGCCTGTGTGCTCTGAAAAACTGTTCTTGGTCTTTCTGCTGTGCTTCTGCTGAGCTAGAGCAGGGCTTCAGGGTGTCCAGGGCACTTGCTTAATGCCCCCCAACACCCTGGTGAGAAATCTGAAAGAGGGTTCCCCTTTTTCCTCTGTACGCTGCCCACTGGGGGCGCTGCTTCAAGAAGGCTGGTCTGCTGCTCCTCCCTGTGGCCCACTAGCTCCCAGAGCACAGAGGCACTTCCAGGGCAGAAGTGACAGCTGGAAATGCAGTGATGTGCCAATACCTTGGGATGGTCCTACCCCCTCTCTGTGTCTTTGGTAAGATGAGATTGAACTTGGTGGTCCTCCAGACCCCTCTAAGTTCTGGATGGACACACACACACACACACACACACACACACACACACACATATACACACATATACTCATACATACGCACTTACTCATACACGCACACACTTTTACATTTAGCTGGGTTTAAATAAGAAAGTGTTTCTGTTACCCGTTCTTATTTAAGAGCGTTGATTCCCTCTGTATGTTAGTTGCTTGTCTTTGGCCTGTACAGATATTTTCTATTTTCTTAACCACTTTGAGGCCCCGCCTTGGGGATGTGGGTGTTTTTGAGGGGGCCTGGGGTGTGCGTGAGCCTCCACAGCCGGTCTGGGGTTCCCGTCTTTGAATTCATGGAAGGTTTTGTTGGACAGTCACGCTGGGGCTGTTCAGGGCTGAGTGGTTGTGAGAGACTGGGTGACTTCCCAGTAAGCAGAGGGGTGGAGGTGAGAGAAGAGCTAGGCCAGCCGTGGGCAAACTACGGCCCGTGGGCCGGATCCGGCCCGTTTGAAATGAATAAAACTAAAACTAAAAAAAAAAAAATACCGTACCCTTTTATGTAATGATGTTTACTTTGAATTTATGTTAGTTCACACAAAGACTCCATCCGTGCTTTTGTTCCGGCCTCCGGTCCAGTTTAAGAACCCATTGAGGCCCTCGAGTCAAAAAGTTTGCCCACCCCTGAGCTAGGCCCACCCATACTGGCCCTGGGTCCTCGACCACTCTTCTTTCCCTGTAGCTTCCCGTTTACAATAGCTGTAAGCACAGAGCAGGGCCTGGTTTGCAGTGTTGCCTAGTATTAAAGTGAACTGTTCTTGCTCTGGCCGGTGTGGCTCTGTTGGTTGGACATTATCCCTTGCACTGAAAGATTGCCAATTCGATTCCGGGTGGGGACACATGGCCAGGTTGTAGACTTGATCCCCGGAATGGGGTGTCTACAGGAGGCAGCCTATCAATGTTTTGTTCTAGTATCCATGTTTCTCTCCCTTCCTCTCTCTCTAAAAATCAGTAAAAATATTTTTTAAATGTTTTTCTTTAATATATTTTATTGACTTTTTTTACAGAGAGGAAGGGAGAGAGATAGAGAGTTAGAAACATCGATGAGAGAGAAACCTCAATCAGCTGCCTCCTGCACACTCCCTACTGGGTATGCACTGAGCCAAACCGGTTAGGGAAGTAAAAATATTTTTAAAAAATAAAGTGAGCTATTCTTAGAGGAAAACTTTTAAAAATCAAATGCCTCACTTATATACTAGAGGTTCATTTGTCCTGCTGTTTGAAAAGGAAGTTTCCTAATTAACTGAATTTTCTTAGACAAAAATTACTAGTTGAAATAGAAAACATATAAAGTTTGGATTATTTCAGTAGAACACCTTGTCATGTTTAATGTGACATCACTCCCCAGATCCCTTTGGCAGATCCCCAGTGAGGGTACCTCCCTGCTTCTGCCTGGGTGCTGCCCCTGCTCTGGTCCACAGTGGCCACGGTGCCCCACTCTGCCCTTGTCCTTACCTGTCCTGTCCTCCCTGTTGTTATTGCTTTCCATGTGGCTGGCTGGAAAGCCAGAGAAAAGAGCTGCTCAGGCTTCTAACAGAAGAATAGACCTGATAGAGGCCTTGGTGGGGGGTTCTTTGAATAAAACCAGGATGTTATATGTATGATTCTGTCACAGCTGTTTAGGCTGCTCTGGGCTATTTTTTTCTTTCTTTCTTGGGCAAAGTTTGGGTTCTTATGCTTCAGATAATTAGAGTAATTTACTAGCAGGTGCTTCTGTTGTTGGTATTATCACGACTCTTGTTACTCTGGTGGTGGCATTACACAGGTGGACCTCGGCGGCACAGCAGTGTGGTGGCAGTCCTGGATGTGTCTTTGCCATCCCATCCCTCCCCACCAGGACGGGTCCCTGCCCACTGTGGGGCATGGGGGTGCACATGGCGGGGGAGGGGAGGCGGAGTGGGAATTTAGCCCAGCATCGCCCAGCTCCCTGGAAAGAATCTGCACGGTGGGGAAGTGGGCGGGGTTCGGATTCTCACTTCCTACTGCATTTCTAGGGAAAAGTGTTTTATTATACTTCTAATACAAACCCATTTAAAAACATTTTTGAGAAAAGGAGAAGCAACCAAGAAGTGAGAAGTTGATGTGTCTCCCTCCCCTTCTCCCCTCCACTTTGCCTGGCAGTCTTACTTCTACTATCTTAGTCAAGTTGCCATGTCATAGGTCGGTGTCCAATGTGCTGAAAGGCTCAGGTCAGATGGCAGGGGTTCCTGTGCTGCCCTCTGTGCCTCCCTCCCGCCCCCCAGTGGCCTTAGACAACCACTGTCAGGTCTTTTAGCCATGTCTTCTATTTCTTCTCTCCATGTTTATAAATAATGACCTTTTCTTTGAACTCACTTCTTAGAACATCTAGTTTTGGCTTCGTAGTGGTCAGGGAGCCAGGACATGTGAAGACGGGTCCTCCCCATTTCTATTGGACTATAGTCAAGTCTGTTTTTAGTGTTAACATCATGTAAATACTGGGTTCTACTGAACTGAGTGTCTAACCATGGTGGCAGCACTTTTCCAGTTCAGATGCATGCTTCTCCCCGAGCTAATCACTATTTTATTTCCCCCCCTTTGCTCAGTGTCCCTGGTATCGATGGCCAAATCCTCCAGCATTCTCTGTGATTCCCCACCCACCCAGCCTGGGTAGCACATCAGGACCAGTACCGCCCCGGAGCTCTCGGCCCTCCTGGTGTCCGGTCTCCAGGCTGCTCTGTCCAGGGCCAGCATAGCACACATCCTTGGCCTTTCCTTTGACGCCACCTTGAGGATCCCCTTCTCTCGGAGCCCACATCTTCTACTTTCTGGCTTTACTGCCCCCTTTAATAACTTCCAGAGAAAATGTGCATACGAAGTACATTTTGCTGAGACTTTGCAAATCCAAAAGTCACTTGATTTTGGTCCCATACTTGATAGGCAGTCTGTGTACATGTGCAGGTCCAGGTGAGAGTCACTTCCCCGGAGATGGGGAGGCATTTCATCATGTGTTCCAGTGACAGGGCTGCCTCTGAGAAGCTTGGTGGTAGCTCTGTTTTCCAATCTTGCGTTTTCCCCTCTTTTAGACTCTTCTCTTTTCTCAAAATTTTTGGTGCTGAGCACTGCAGAAGGACTTCATATTTTTTGTTCTGGGACATTTCCTTGAACTCTCTGACAGCCGTTCTCCCCACATTCTTTTTCTAGGGCCCTTAAACTGACCATTAGCCCTTCTGAACCATCTCTTGTTTTTTCCTTTCTTTAAAAAAAAATATTTTATTGATTTTTTACAGAGGGGAAGGGAAAGGGATAGTCAGAAACATCGATGAGAGAGAATCATCGATCAGCTGCCTCCTGCACGCCCCGCACTGGGGATGTGCCCGCAACCAAGGTATCAAACCTGGGACCCTTCAGTCCGCAGGCCAACGCTCTGTCCACTGAGCCAAACCGCTCAGGGCTGTTTTTTTCTTTCTTTATTGATTAAGGTATTACATATGTGTTCTTATCCCCCTATTGCCCCCCCTACCCCCCATCCCTGCTCATACCCTCACTCCCCTGGTGTCTGTGCCCATTGGTTATGCATATACACATGCATACAAGTCCTTTGGTGAACCATCTCTTGATGTCTGCATTTTTATATTTGTATTCCCATTGCCAACTTTTTGCCTACTTTCTGAGAGATTTTCTTTTATCTTCAAACCCCTCTATAAAGTTTAAAATCTTCAGCATTGTTTTAATTTCTAATATTCTTCTTTACCTCCTTTACCCTGCATCCTATTTTTGGTTCATGGTGGTTGAAGTTTTCTTTGATTTCGGCATATTTTTTGTTTTCTCTGCATCTCAGTTTATTCACTTTGGTGTCTGCTTTTTGTGATGGAGGCTTTCTTTCAAGTGTTTGGGGACACCTGGCTGCCCTTTTCAGTGTAAACATGAAAGCCGTTTGGTGCTTGTCAGGTGCTGGGCTGTGGCAGGCACTCTGCCAGCCCTCAGTCATTTCTCTCTTAGTTTCTCTGGGAAGGGCTCTCTGGTCACTGCATAGGTCAGGGGCAGAAGAGACTGGGGTCTCCCTTTTTGTGTGCAGACTTTCCTCACCCCTCTTTCTAGCCTTGCCCCTCACTCCCACCTTCCAGCCGTGCTCATGTGCCAAATCTGCAGCATCTGGTCTGTTTCTTTGGGAGAGGAACCTGGAGCCTCCTGCAGGGGATGGGGACAGAGTAGTTATCTGCCAAGGATGATCAGGGGAAGTTGAGGGCCTTACTGCTTCTTAAACGGACTTTCAGCCAGTTTCCCAGGCTTTAAAAATCCCATGTTTGGTCCAGTCCCAGGCTTTGCTGGAGCCCAGTAGGGTGAATGGGCCTTTACATGCTCTTCTCTCTGGGCTTGGTTGGCGTCCCCAGCGCCTCTGAAGGCGTCCTCAAAGTGGAGTCACGGGCCGTCCCTTGTCACGTAGCCTATTTATGAGCCTGCCTTTGCTTTAACCGGCACAGAAAAGCAACCCTGAAGCACATATCAGGTTTCATGACTGCTGGGGTCCAGCCCCAGCAGGTCCAGGGGTTCCCCAAAGGTGTGGACGGAGTCGGCAAAGAAGGAATGACATGGAGACAGCGTTCAGTTGATCAGCAGCCTTGCCAGGATCTCTAGCCACAATCTCCATCCAAGTTCTGTGTCCATGTTCTCTTGCTAGGTTCTCCCGCCAGGTTCGGTCGCCAGTCCAGCCAGGTTCTATCTAGGTTCTCCAACCAAGTTCTGTAGCCAGGTTCTGTCCAGGATCTTTTGCCATGTTCTCTCCAGCGAAGTTCTTCTGTCTCTAGGTTCTGTGTAGGTTCTGTCTCCTAAGTTCTGTGTCTTGTTTTGTTACATCTGTATTTATACCAGTTGATTCGATCCTATCAATCTCTATTCCAAAGGTTAGGGCGCTTCTTATCTCCATTCCAGGGAGTAAAGATTATATAGATTAAGCATGATTGTTCATAGTTAAAGAGATTAATTACCTGTCTGGCACTTAGTGAAGGGGTTTTATTCCCTCCCTAACTTCAGGGGAAAATCTCTACCTGGGGAAACAACCTTTCTCGGAGACGTGACCTTGGTTAAAACACATAGTGCCAAGAAGGTGAGCAAACATATTAAGAACAGTATGCCATATATGCCAGGTCCCTTGAAACAGCAAGGATGGACCGGCTCCCAGCACATGACGAACATCACATATTAAATGGGGACAGATAGGGCAAACAAGCTAAATTTTGGCCCTGGTACTTTGGAATTAGTTTTAAAAGTTCATTTTTCATTCTTTTTCTTGTACATGAACATTAGCATACAGGTGGTGCTTACTACCATTTGCTTTCACTCCTTTAACGAACAAATACATTCCAAAAAACACTTCTGCCCTCAGTTATATCTTGAATTTTAAGAAATTTTAGATACAATTAGTGGTCTTCATATCTCCTTCAAGTCATAAATTCCATGTCTTTTTAGATGTTGGTGTTCTGGCTTTTTAAGAATATATCCCAAATGATATAAATCCAGAGGAAATACAAATAAAATGGTGAAAAAGTGAATTTCCAAATCCTTTAAACTATGTTTATGAGTACATTCTACTGAAACGGACCTGTAGAAGCTGATGCTCGTTGTCTGTAGAGTGAGAGTCACATGTAAGTTCTGAATTGAAGCACGGGAAGCAGCAGAGGTGCCCCTGGTGTGTCCATGCCAAGGCCCCAGCGAGCCGAGCAGTGGACTCTGGAACAACCCGTGTTTGCACTTATGCGCAGGCGTATAGGAGGACCCGTACAGTTCAAACCGTGTTGTTCAAGGGTCCCAGGCATCTGTTTTCTTCCCTGGTCCCTGCAGTGACCACTGTGACACCCTCTCTGCAGGCAGGCTGGGAGAGAGGCTGAGCCTGGGAAACATGCCTGGCCTGGGCAGGGCCGGTAACATCAAGTCTTTTCTCAGGTTTGCAGGAGACATTCATCTAAGAACTGTTGTGTGCACACTTTCCTATTGAAATGGAATGACAGAAAGTGCTGTATACTTTCCTCAGGGGCGGGGAGTTCTGTTCCCAGTGGCTGTGGAGGCCCCTGCAGAGGCCGTCACCACAGCCGTCGCTTTGTGATCTCTTTGTTGCACTTTGTGTGTTGCTGTTTGCTTCCCCTCTGTTCAGCTGGCATGGCCTCCTTTAGTTAGGGGTGCTTTCAGCTCCCCTGTCCATTCTCAGTGGTTGCTTTAAATCTTGGGGTTATCACATCCATTCCTGGAAGAAGCAAGATGAGAACAGGTGTTGCATGAGAGACACGGGGCTCACATGTCTGCAGGTGAACAGCTCAGGGGCCTTCTCAGCATCCATCCCATCTGCCTCACCAGACAAGGGGCCTCCGCATAGCTGAGGCACTAGTGTAAATAGTTGTCAGACAGAGGGAACCAAAGCCTAAAATCAGCCTGAACAGGGTTCCAGCGGATGTGCCTCTACTGGAAGTTAAGTCCCTTATCTCCAAGATCCTTGGGTATTTTCTCCATCAGAAGTCGTGAGATACTTGGAGGTGTCATAATTGTCTGTGCTCTCTAACGCTATCTTTCAATTGTTCAAAAGCTTCAGTTACAGTTAAACCAAGATTTGAGTATCTTGCATCAAGATGATGGCTCATCCAAGAACAAGAGGGGCGTTCTGCCAAAGCACGCCACCAGTGTGATGCGGTCCTGGCTCTTTCAGCACATAGGGGTAAGACCACATGACCTCGCGGAGAGCGACACCCTCCGCCAGGCTTCTTTCCGGCTTGTTTTCTAGAAAAAAGTTGCCTGTACATGCTAATAGGCCTGGTTTGTTTTTTTTTTAAATATATTTTATTGATTTTTTACAGAGAGGAAGGGAGAGAGATAGCGAGTCAGAAACATTGATGAGAGAGAAACATCGATCAGCCGCCTCCTGCACATCCCCGACTGTGGATGTGCCTGCAACCCAGGTACATGCCCTTGACCGGAATCGAACCTGGGACCCCTCAGTCCGCAGGCCAACGCTCTATCCACTGAGCCAAACCGGTTTCGGCTGGTTTTTAATATCTGTATTTTGTTAACTGTCCATGTGGGTTGAGTGTGGGACAGAAGGGAGGGTTACCAAAAAATGGAGGACATCACTTAAACTTAAAATAAATGAGGGGACCACTGGTGAAAAGAATCAATTCAGCTCATACTAATCTTCTGCATGTTAGAGAAGCTACTCGTGAAGGGTGACTGGGGTGAGTGAGGTTAATTAGAGAAGTGGGCAGAGAAAAGATGCATTTGGGCAAAACCTTAGTATAGAGCAGTGATTTCTATGTTGGATTTTTAAGGAAGAAGCACTAAGAAACCCCAAGGTAGAGCTGAAAAGTTGGGCATATGGACACAACAGTCGGCAGATGGCTTGTTGAACTTGAGATATAGTTGGGCCAGCAGGCAGCACCCACCCATCCCATTCTGTCTGAGCCCCTGGTTTCCTCACGGGGTGGTGGCCATGTCTTCTCTGTGAAGATGCCTTGTCTTAGGAAGCACACACTTGTTGGTGGGTTTAATGGGACAGGCTCACTCTACCAGACTGAGCCCTCAGTCCTCACACCACTGACCTCAGGGAAGGCCTGTGACCCAGAGCAGCTCTCAGAAGTGACTCCCAGTGCAGTGGCCACAGTCAGGACTGATCTGGACAGCTGTCAGGAGCAGGTGGGGACAGAGGAAGTAGATGCTCCCTGCTGAGCCATAGCCATGTTCGGGCAGGGGAAGAGCCAGAAAGGGTGCTGGAGGGACAGAAGGAAAGGAGGCCTGCCCAGCAGCCTCATGAATAAGCTTTCAGGCCAGGTACTTCCATCCACGGCCAGCTCTTTCTGGGTGCAGTGGCCGCCTGCTCCTTGAGCAGCCCTGGTCCAGGTTATCCCTAAGAGCTGGGCTAGCCCCTGGATCTGCCCCTCTACTTCACTGCCATCGTTGTCACCTGCTCATGTCTTCAGCTGATGGCCACTTCCTCACTTTCCCATCTTCCTTGTCGCTGTCCTGGTGCTATGGCTGTCAGTGGAGGTGTCTTTCAGGCCCGCGTCTCCTCATGCCTTTCCTCTTCCTTCACCCTGTCCCAGGCCCGAGGCTTACATTGGTCTCTTGGCACCTGTCTCCATCCTCACCCTGATTGTGAGCCCCAAGACCAACACCCGGGTCTCAGTCGTCTCATCTCCCCCTGGGTTAGGCCCTTGTCACTGTTCTGTGCCCCCTTTTTCTCTAACTGGCATTGGGCTCCATCCCTGAGGGCCAGGGGCCTGAATAGCTGTGATGTCATTGAACAGTCCTGGGAGGAGAGGAAGATCCCTCCCTTTCCTGAGGGGAAACCTTGAAGGATCTGAGGCTGCCCCTCCCTGCGCACTAGGCCCCCAGCTTCCTCCCTTCTCTGGTGGCTGTTCTCTGATAGGCTGTTGCACCAGCAGGACATGGCAACAGGTGTCAGGGGAAGGAACAGTGTGACCGTGTCTAGAAATACGTCCTAAAAAAATTCACAAGAAAATTAAATATTTTTACAGATAAAATGGTATAATGAGCCCTAACCAGTTTGGCTCAATGGATAGAGTGTCGGCCTTCGGACTGAAGGGTCCCAGGTTCGATTCCAGTCAAGGGCATGTACCTTGGTGCGGGCACATCCCCAGTAGGGGGTGTGCAGGAGGCAGCTGATTGATGTTTCTCTCTCATCGATGTTTCTAACTCTCTATCCCTCTTCCTTCCTCTCTGTAAAAAATCAATATAATATGTATATATATTTTTAAAATGGTATAATGATACTCATTATCCTAAAGGGAAATGAATTAGTATATAAATTAGAACCTACCAGTTTGATGGAGTATTATTCAGCTAGTAAGCATGATAAACAAGGGTGTGTACACTAGGAAGCTTCAGGTAGATGGTAGTAAGTGAAAAAGAATAGACATTTTAAAATATACTGTGTTTGCCCTAACCAGTTTGGCTCAATGAATAGAGCATCGGTTTCCTATCCCCTCTTCATTTTATGAGCTTTTTAAAGTGCAAGAGCAATATTTATGTTTTCATAACATCTAACTCGGGGCCATACGCTCATAGAATCAAATGGAGTTGCTGCCGTCGCATGGAGGGAACAGGTAGGCTGCTGCTGAGATCACCCTGATGCTGCTCTGTTGTCACTGACAAGCACAGCGACTTTTCCAACAGACTGAGTGTTCACTTAAAATAAAAACGGAAAAAAACACACCCAATATTATGCAGCTAGTTACATGATAAACAAGGGTGTGTACACTAGTTATACTAACTGAATAACCCACCTCCTGACTGCTGGTGCCATTCACTCTTGGTCTGAAATAAGAGACTTCAGTGCATGTAGGTTTTAGAGTAAATATCTTATTGGTTTCTACTTGTGGACAGTAATCAGTCCTCGATAAATGGTTTATCACCATAGACAGAAATTGTTTTCCTTTGGTACTTCTCTGAATTTTGAAATTCACTTCTGTTTTGATTCTGTTTTTTTAAAGTGAAATGTTTTAATCATATATAATAGAAAGAGAAATATAACAAATGCCCCCACTCCGTTTGGTTTCTTTATCAACAGCACATGTGAACCTATCAGAGATCATTCTTGAAAAGCCTTAGAAGATGTCAGTGCATCCATTGTTGGTTTCTCCTCAAGGTCCCCATGTAGAGACCTGCCACCTGAAGTGACGGCAGAGAGCAGCCTACCTGGCTCCTTTTCTGCCACCTCACATAGCCAGCCGGGGGGGCGGCGGGGGGTTGTAAATTCTCCATGCTTCAGCTTCCTCATCTGTAAAGTAAAGGTGACAACAGTGTCTCAGAGGTGATGGTGAGGCACCAGTGAATTACTGTAGAACGTGTGGAGGTGAGAGAAACCTGCAGTGCCTGCTGTGTCAGAGGTTTGTGGGTCCAGACCCCACCATTTATCCACTGTAAATGGGTGCAGTTTATGGCCCATAAATTATACCTCAGTCAAGTTGACACAAAACTATAGGTATATCAGGTGCTTAGAACAGCACCCAAGGCGGTAGCGCTGGGCAGTGTTACTATTGTCATCTCTGAGCCTCAGGCTGACAGGTCTAACCAGCCTGGGCTTCAACCAGCTGCCATTCCTGGGCAGCCAGGAGAAACACTTCATTCTGCTTGGGTGTTTCTAAAAAACACCTATGAGACTCAAATTTTTAACTGAAAAGTAGTATTGATTGGTACTTGTCAGTTGTTTATAAGTGATTATTTGTATGCCTGGATTTTACCTAGAAAATCCTGAGTTCCTTTTAAAAATTGAAGTTCATAGTAACCCTTTTTTATTTTTAGCATCCCTACCCCACAGAAGATGAGAAAAAACAGATTGCTGCTCAGACAAATTTGACACTACTCCAAGTTAACAACTGGTAAGACACACCCACTTTCCAAAATTGTGCCTGTAACCATCATAGAACACTTGGAAACACTGACACTAATATCTAGTAAAATTTGGTTGAAAATATGAGTTCTTTTAACTAGCAATACCCTGTTTTCAGAGTGCTGGAATTAGTGGTACATACTTAAGAATAAATCAGCACCCACTTTTTTTTTAATTTATTGATTTGAGAGAGAGAGAGAGAGAGAGAGAGAGAGATGGACATTGATTTGTTGTTCCACTTACTTATGCATTCATTGGTTGCTTCTGGTACGAGCCCTGATGGGGGATTAAACCCTCAACCTTGGTGTATTGGGATGATGCTCTAATCAACTGACCCACCTGACCAGGGCTCAGCACACACTTCCAACCTACATTTTTCATGCTCAACATCTCAATGTGGGCTTTTTGCTTATATCCTGCTTGCCCGATTAGAAATGTGTTCCTCTATTGCATTACTACTCCCAAGCTCCCAAATTCATTCAGAAATGTGATGTTTTCGTGGCTAAGCTTCCAGGTGGTGGACAGCCGAGATGAGGTCCACCTCATCCTGACCTCTGATGGCCCCTCTGCAGCTCTCCCACCTTTTGAAACGTTGTGTTGTGTCCCTTTGGGGGAGGCAGTCCTCTGCCGTCTGTGTGGTGATCCTGCCCCACAGCAGCGCCTGGGTCGGGGAGATGCCCAGGATGATGATTATTAATGAGACATTCTGCTCTGGTGTTTGTGTCACATGTGACTGGGGACACCTGGACCATGACCACGTGTGTTCCCTTCAGTCAGAGCTGTTCACATTACTAAGTGGCACTAAGGTCTAGGATGCACTTAGATTTTGTCAGTCACTCATCTCATGTTTGTTTACTTGTTATTCAGACATAAGAAGTGATTTCAACTTAATAAAATTGACATGCATAAAAGAAATGGCGCCCTAGCTAGTATGGCTCAGTGGATAGAGCGTTGGCCTGAGGACTGAAGGGTCCCAGATCGATTCTGGTCAAGGGCACATGCCCAGGTTGCGAACTCGATCTCCAGTAGTGGGCATGCAGGAGACAGCCAATTAGTGATTCTCTCTCATCGTTGATGTTTCTATCTCTCTTTCCTGCTCCCTTCCTCTTAGAAATCAATAAAAAAAAATTTTTTTAAAAATTTTAAAAATGGCATAAATTCTACCACTTGTAAACATGATTATATTCTTATTTTAACTGTTAAAACAAACTTGGAGTTCCAATGTAAATGATAAAATGTCCCAGTTTATGTAATTAAATATTCAGGAGGCATGCTTTAGCATTGCATTAAATATTTATATTATCCTACACTTGAGCCATTATTTGTTACCTGGGTAGCAACAGTAGACAATACTATTTCTTGTTATTTCTTGTTAATTCTTTTCAGTATAGAATGCTAACAAAAATCTGAAGGTTTCAAATATATTGTTGAAATGTATTCCCTATGGTGTTTGTAATGTCTTGTAATGTATCCTGTTGTTTTTGTGCAGCTTGGTGTTGAAACTTCCTATTGTGATGTAGTCATGATAGTGATTGATTGATTGAGGTGAATGTTAGACACAGAGTAACAGTTTAATAACATGACTTTTGTAAAGTCTAAATTTTCTAAAGCCTTTTAATATTTATAGCTACTTTTTCTCTTGGTGACTTCTTTTCTTTTTTCACATTCACAAAAATTAAATTTATGCCTCATAGCAACTTTGAATAAGAATAAGGAAGCAGATACTGGAAAGGAACAGTGGGGTTCCAGCCAAGGTGCTGCTGGCATCGGGGACTGTAGGGCTGTCAGGCAGTCTCCCAGTCCAGTCCTGCTTGTGCTACGGGGACTGAAGACTGACGCAGAGGAAGGCTCTGCGGAGTCAGTCTCTCTGTTATTAGAATGTGTTCAAAGGCAATTTTACATGTTCTTGAATCTTAGGGTTTTAAAGTTAAGTAACCTTTGCCCAGCCAGTATGGCTCAGTAATTGAGCGTCGACCTATGAACCAGGAGGCCAGTTTGATTCCCTGTCAGGGCACATGCCTAGGTGCGGGCTCGATCCCCAGTAGGGAGGCGTGCAGGAGGCAGCCGAATCTCTCTCTCTCCCTCTTCCTTCCTCTCTCTGAAGTCAATAAAAGCATTTTTTTAAAGGGGCTACCATGGAGGTGTTGGTCTTTATTTAAATGAATTATCTTAAAAACAGCATGCCCCGTTTTTCTGGACACTTAGAGAATATGTGTGCCATATTCTAAATACCTGTTGTCATAGGGAATCTGAGTTACTCTGATCGTCTTTGTGTGATTTATGAAGCAGCTTATTTACTGGAAGGACTTTGTTGCTCCTGCAAGGTCTTTAAAAAGGGTGTTTTGATGACAGTTCTTCCTTTGTCGACCTCAATGCTCAGGTTCATCAATGCTAGAAGACGAATTCTTCAGCCGATGTTGGATTCTAGTTGTTCAGAAACTCCAAAAACAAAGAAGAAAACTGCTCAGAACAGACCAGTTCAGAGGTTTTGGCCCGACTCCATTGCATCTGGAGCCACACAGCCACCACCCAATGAGCTCGCCATGTCAGAAGGTACGGGGATACCTGCAGGGCGGGTGGTGAATCATAAGCACTGTCGCTTCCTGTGAGTTTAGGGAACAGGAGCCAAGGTGTGTGCAGTTGTCTGTTTCTGCATTTGAAACTCGGGAAGCATTATGCTGAGGCCTATGTGTTACGACACTCACAGCACATATGAAACATGACCCACACCAAGACCCAGCGTCCACAGCGCATTGTGTCCTGTGTCCTTTCGTCTTTCTTTTCCCTCCCACTCACTTCTCACACCTGGCACTTCGCCCTCTTTATTTACCCCTTTAGTCCCTCGGTTCTTTGACCCGTCACAACCTCTCTGATGTGTTTAATGCACATCTTTCTGTCTAGTATGCATATATTTTTAAATGTATATTGATGGTGTTATCTTTTCATTCTCTGTCTTACTTTTTTTCACTCAGCAGCATAACTGTTATTAAGGTAGGAAAGTTTGGGCCATTATTTCTTCAAATATATTTTTATCTCCGCACCCCTGTTAGGTGGTTAAAGGTCACACAGTTGCGGATGGTCTTTCAAGTTTTGGATTCTTTTCTCTGTCTCGTGTGGATTGTTCTGCTCCTACCCGTCAGCTGTACCAGTCTCTTTCTTCTGCGTGTTTAATTCCTCTGATCCCATCCAGTGTGCTTTCTGTGTTAGACCTTGTAGTCTTTGTCTCTAGAAGTTCCGTGTGAGTCTTTCTGTCCCTCCTGGGTCTGCCTACGTTTTGAATCAGAGAGTACAGTTACAGTCGCTGCTTGATTCCATCCTCTGTTAGTTCTGGGTCTTGCTTTTGGGATTGGTTCTTATTCCCAGCAGTGTTCAGCCCCAGGCTGATCACCCGCTACAATCATGCAAGACCTAGGAGTGCTCCACCCAGTCTCCCGTGCATCGGGCGTGTCCACTCTGGCTAGAGAGTGCTGGACACCGCTCTATAATCTCAGATGGTCATTTCCTCACACGCACATGCCAGTCCGTCCTCTGCCCCGTGCTCAGGGCCTACCTTCCCAGCCATGCTGGCCCAGGCTGGGACGGCCCGCACAGTGGGTTGTAAGTCAGGCTTATTTGGTTTCCATCGGCCTCCTCTTGAGTTGCAGTGTATGCTCTTAAACCTTTGGTTTCCGCATGTGTGTTTTAGTATGTAGTGATCCTACATCCATATTCAAATAATTGCTATTTTCAGTTTTTATTTTCTCTTTTAATCCAATAATTAGAAAGGTATTTTTTCCCTCTCTCCCTCTCCTCCTCCAAAAGAAAAGGCAGTACCTGTCTGTTGGGTGGGGGGGCGGGGGACAAGAATATCCTGTGAAAATAAATCTCCCCTCCATCCTGGCATCTAGTCCTCTCAGGAGACAGCCTTGTTTCCAGTTTCCTGTACGTGCTCCCATTGCACTTGTGCGGAGGTATTCTGTGCACAGACACGAGTGAGTGAGCCTCTTTCCCCAGAGGTAACATATCCAGTGGTGTCTCCTCTTGCTTTCACCTCTTCATGCACTGGGTATTAGTACACTGGAGACTTTCACAGGTGAGCATGTGAGATCACTGTTGTTTCCAAGAAAGGCAGGGATTAGCGCGTCCCTTCCAAACTGGTCTCCTCACTCTGACCTTATGTCCCTTTTCTTTGTCTCTCCATTTATGCCTGTGTGGGCCTTTCTCCTGCCTTCACTGGTCTCTTTTGTTCTCCTTGTGGCACTATTTTCATCCCAACCCCTGAGACCTTCAGCCAGGCCTGAGGCCAATTCTGGAATTTCTTAAACCCCTGTTGAGCATCCCAGAAACACACAGTCTTAATGAGAGGTCACATGAGCAAATAGCACCCAGTTGGCTAACAGTGTTTTCCTCCACCGCTAATCTGAATAGTGACCACTGCATTCTGCCGATTTGCCACAGGAGCTGTTGTGACGATCACCACGCCCGTGAGCATGAATGTGGACAGCCTCCAGTCTCTGTCCTCAGACGGTGCCACCCTGGCTGTGCAGCAGGTCATGATGGCGGAGCAGAGTGAGGACGAGTCCGTGGACAGCCCAGGGGCTGGCGGGGCCGCACTCACCCCCACCCACATCAGTGGGCTGGTTCTGGAGAACAGCGACTCCCTGCAGTAGGCCAGGACGCCTAGGACCCAGGGTGGCGCCAGGACCCAGGGTGGCGGGCCTGGCTTTTTATAGTTTGCACAGCAAACATTTTACACAGTTTTATTTCTGATCTGTTTTATATGTAGATATAGAAGAGTGCACTTTTGTATTTCATAGCAAGCTCAAGGGCGTCTGTGCCGGTGCAGCAACTTCTTTCAAGTGAGTGCGCGTGTGTGTGGGTCTTCAAGGAAATTCTTTAAAGGTTTAACGCTAAGTATGTGACAAATGACAAACCCCCATGATCCCCTAAGTAGATTAAGGAACTTTTATAAAAAAAAATCATGCAGTTTTAATGCGTTCTTTGGTTAAAGCAGGTCCCCGAGGGCTGACTTCTTTGTGTAGCCCACAGGTTTGAAAGAAGCTTCTGCACCTTAAAACCGCCAGTGCGAGGTGGACAAGACACGGCCATAGACTGGTGTGACTCTGTGGTGAATGTACAACAACTTCAGTACCTTTACGTTCTCTCATAGTCAGTGAGCCTGTTTCATTTGCTATATATAAAAAGAAACTCCTATTTTTACCTTGCTGGAATTATTGGATAAAAAGCTATTTTTATAAATTCGTTATGAATTGGATTATGACTATACTGAGGATAAAATTTCTAGAGAAGAAATCATACATGCTTACTATTTCAATTTGGAGCGTTATGAATTGACCAAATTTAATGAACCTGCCCCAAGATAGCTATGGTAGTAATTTACATTTACTACTACAAAAGAAACAACTATTTAATGAAATTTTGATATGTAGTCAAATTTTAGTTTATATGTAAATGCTCAGATTTCATTTTCCACTTAATCTAAACATATATCTAAAGGTATTTGCTAAGTAAAACTTAGTTAAATGAAATGGTAGCCAGTAATTAGTTTTTACCATACATATTTCAGTCTAATTTAAATTTGACTACAGTTAAATGGTGACTATACCATGTTAGCTGTGTGTTTTAGAATTTTTTAGTCAGCCATATATTATACATAGAATGTTTATTATAAACTAATATAAAATGTCCTGTCCCACTGGCTCAGAGCTAGGGTAAATCACAAACATTCAGCTTCGTTTCATAGTTATAGCAGATACCCATGAAGTGACCGGGACTGTGCTGACAAGCGATGCACGCTCCTGCTATTGGCCACACAGGTTACCCTTGGTCCTGGGTTGAGGTTTTCTCCTTGTATGTGTTCCTCTGGAATTTCCAGAGATTTGGAATAATGTTAGAACTTCCATTTCCTGGTGCCGAGACGCATCAAAATTGTAGACGAGGTTTTTTATTTACTTTGGTGGTTTTCATTTGGTCTCTTGCCATTGGGGTTTTTTCTCAGAGAGAAAACAGGGTGCCTTGTTTCAGAGAGGACGTCTGTATGGAATCTTACCGGTGACACCCAGAGTTCAGCGTGTCTCCAAAGGAGGGTCTCGTGGTTGGGAGGGTCGTTAGCAGCAGTAAGTGGTTATGGGCCAGGTTTACTTTGAACGGTATGCTGAGCTAGGGCAGATTTTTTTCTGGGACTGACTTTTCCTTAAAAATTTATTAATTAAAGTTAATCATAGGAAAGTACTTCCTAGATAACCTAGAAGGCAGAAAGAAATAATAAAAATTTCTTTTCAAGTATTTCAGCAGCTTTAAAAAAAGCTTGACTGGCAACTCTTTGGGGAGAGCATCCCATTTTAAAGTAACTGGCATTTCTTCTTTATAAACAGTTTTTAATATTTTAAGTCTACATAACTATCAAAGATCATTTTAGCTTTACTTACATTCTAACTGCTGGATTTCACAAAATGAGGATCTGTGGAAGCCAGCCCTGCCCACCTCCCCCCGCCCGCCCTTTGTCCCTCTGGGCCACCCTGCTCTTTGGTTTAGGAAAAAGAGTCAGGGAATGTAGGCTCCTTACAGGTCATTGTTCCTCTCCCCACCAGAAACCATGGCACTGAGGCAGATGTTAGCCGAGGCTGCACACACCGTGTCAGTTTGGATGCGGCATGTCAGGGTTCGCATTGGCCTGGATTCAGCTTATGTGCCCAGTGACGAGGCGTGCGCCTCTGCAGCTGAAGTGGTGTTCTTAGCCCTAAGCTCTTGTCACTGCCTTCAGGGGCTAGGGCAAAGGTTATTTAGAGAGTGTGTTGGCATGGATAGGCACAGCCTGAGGTTTTTCTAACATCTTCCCTTATTAACACCTGACATGGCTGTTTGGGTCATAAAACCACTGCCCAGTATGCTTGTTGTCATTTTCCACCTTATCAACACCCATTTTCCAGACATTGGAGAGAACCTGTGAAAGTACCTTTTCCATTGAATTTTCACTGTAAACAAACAGATCCTTTGTTGTTCAATTCTTTCCTTATGAAGGATGCTTTTGGATGTTTTGAGACCCCAGGTAAGCATGTTGTCCCTGCTGCTCAGCTGGAGCAGATAGCTGGACCAGCTTTGCTGCACCCAAACAACTCCAGCTGATGGACTAACCCAGCTTTCAACCTTTGGTTCCAGATGGCAAGATACGTTTCAGCATTTATTCCGTGTGCAAAGGAATCAGTTCGGTGTCACCTCTCGGGTGACTCTACTCTGACCTGCGTGAAGAGTGCTGAGGCACGTTTTTTTTCAAACTTAGACAAACCCAGAAGGTGTGACAGGCCCATTTTTGGCAGTTAGTGACAGAAATGACTCAGCAATCTTCCTTTGTTTTAATTATGTTTGGTCTATGAACTGACAATCTTTAAAACGTGAATACTGTAACAATATGTTTTCTTGGATTGTTGTCTTTAAAGGGGATTTTTGTGAAGCAATTGATTTATCAAAGCAAAAAAATTAAAAATAGAAACACACTTTATGGATGTTTCCTTCTTTTTAAAAAAATATTTTTTTATTGACTTCAGAGAAGGGAGAGGGAGAGAGAGAATCATTGCCTGACTGCCTCCTGCATGCCCCCTGCACACCCCCCTCCTGGGGATTGAATCTGCAACCTGGGCATGTGCCCTGACCAAAAATTGAACGCTGACCGCCTGGTTCATAGATCAACGCTCAACCATTGAGCCACAGTGGCCGGGCTGGATGTTTCATTTTCTAAAGCCCATGTCACTGCAAGCTCCTTTTACATTTCAAGTAATACATTCAAGTTGTTGACATGTTTTGCTGGTGACAGTTGGGGTTTGTGGTGACCCCTGCACATTTTAAAAATTAAGATTACCCCACACTGGAGCCATTTCGTTTTAAGAATCTTGAGTTACTTCAGTTAGTCATTGGTTTTCCAGGAAAAAATGAACCCAAGCCTTCAGCCTGTAAAAACCAGTAATGCCTGTGACTTTGTTTTATGTTTTGTTTTGTTTTCAGGGGGGGAGGGGTTGGTATTTTATCATAAATCTAATTATTTCAATAGTAATGAGAAGATTATGACTGATGAGTAAGGTATTGCCTTTCATAGTTCCTGTTGTAAACTACATGCCCAGGCAGAACATTTCAGAGTGGTTTTAACTCCCCAAAGCTGTATACCTAGAGGCTAACGTGAGTCAGAAGACTTTAAATACTTTTTAACAAGTGCAGCTAAAATTTCAAATCTTGCTGGAGATTAGCACTTGCAGGGATGAAGTATATTATTTCAGGAAGTATTCTGATAGATTTGACAGAAAACAGAGTCACTGTGTTGTCACTCCAACTTCTTTATGTTGGAGGTGAGAGGGTGGATGTGAAATTTACCCAGGTAAGGTCCAGCCCTGACCATCACCTCCAGGCTTCAAGTGCCTCCTTTGTAAAAGGAAAGGAATCCTATAATAAAAGGCTAATATGCAAATTGTCCCCTCGACTGGGAGTTTGACCAGGGAGCACCGCCCACCTGCAGCCCCTCTCCCAAGCCAGCTCTGCCCCCCATTGCACCCTCCCCACCCCAATCAGGGGCAGGGCTGGCCAGCTAACCTCTCACATCCCCTCCTCCCTGGCCAGCCGGGCCAATTGACGCCAATTGGGGCCGGCCAGCCTGACCCCACCCGTGCATGAATTCATGCACCGGGCCTCTAGTTGGTTTATAAAAGGAAATAAATTGGTTTTTAAGGTTCATTCTAGGTCAAAAGTGCTGTTCATGACAAATAAAATTCTATCTTGAAAGAGAAGGGTTAATAAGTAATGATATAGCAAATTCTTAAAGAAATGTATTTAGATTAAATGTTTAGAGTTTCACTTTTTGTTGCATTATGCAGATGTCCTAAAGCATATTATATTTATGCACTCTACGTAGAAATTCTTAGCACAAATTATTTTAGCTCTTTACAATTAGATCCCCTTCACTGAGACTTAAGTTGGCTGTACCATTTTTTAAACTAAAATTTGCAAAGCTGTAGCACTATGGCATCTCAGCTAAGGTGACTTACTGAAGAGCATGCTGCTCTAGGAGGCTCCCCGGCTCCATCGCGCCAACCCCAGGCGCAGAATGTCCTGTCTCAACAAGATCTCCAGCTAGTCTACAAAGGACTGATTAGTGGTGCATGACTGAATAATTGAGTAATGGTTTCGCATAGAGAAGTATTTGGAAAGGGTTACCTTGCACAGATATTTCTGTGTTTTACATCATGATTTAAATGAGATCACTTGCCTCAGTGGAGACATCTGTATACCTCTCCACTGTTAAGGGAGAAATGTGTTTGCACCAAGGATCTGCCCGCCATCCCTTCTCCTTTCAGATGCTTTTAGAATCCTCTCCCTTGTCTCCCAGCCTCCGTGTGCTGGAGACACATAAGTCCGATGCCTTTCTCATTCTGAGACTTTCTATTTGAGCCCGTAAAACCCAATAATGGCTATGGTATGGGGAGAAACTCTATCCCAGCAGGTTTGAAAGGAGCATTTTTATTAGGTTGGTAACTTTAGTTGCTTAGACTTTTTTTTAGCAAATGGCTCGTAGATAAAATCAGGTATATTTTTTTTTTATAAATTATTATTTTTTTAAATATATGTTACTGATTTTTTACAGAGAGGAAGGGAGAGGGATAGAAAGTTATAAACATCGATGAGAGAAACATCAATCAGAGAAACCTCCTGCACAGCCCTATTGGGGATATGCCCACAACCAAGGTACATGCCCTTGACTGGAATTGAACCTGGGACCCTTCTGTCCACAGGCCGATGCTCTATCCACTGAGTCAAACTGGTTAGGGCAAATTAGGTATATTTTTAAAATATTTTTCTGTATGTTAACTCAATTTTTTTCTGATATTGTTTCAACACTAGAGGCCTGGTGCACGAAATTTGTGCATGGGGAGAGGGAGGGTGTCCCTCAGCCCAGTCTGCACCCTCTCCAATCTGGGATCCCTCTCACAATCCAGGACTGCTGGCTCCCAACCACTCTCCTGCCTGCCTGCCTGCCTGCCTGATTGCCCCTAACCACTCCTCTGCCAGCCTGATCACCCCCAACTGCCCTCCCCTACAGGCCTGGTCACCCTTAACTGTCCTCCCCTGCTGGCCCAGTCGCTCTCAACTGCCCTCCCCTGCTGGCCATCTGGTGACATGGGTGTGGACATCTTTGTGTTGGAGTGATGGTCAATTTGCATATTACCTCTTTATTAGATAGGATAGCAATCCATGTCAGAAGTCATGAAGCCCTTGATGGTTTGTTCTGGGGTGTTAGAGTAGCTCTGAGTTTGCAAACTAGGGTGTGTGTCAGAGAACAGCCAGGGGGCTGGAGGAGACGTGGCTGAATGGAGCCAGGGAAGCCGAGAAAGCAGTTTCTAGGGAAAGCTGACCTGTGAACTCACAAGAGCACGCAGGGAGCCTGATGCTGTTCCCCTACTTTGCTGTTGGGTGAAGGGAAGGCATTTCAGAGGAGTCTGGGAGTAGGCTGCACACAGCCCACTGCTAGTCAAGACCCCTGCTTCATCCAGGGTGCAGTGCCATCCTCAGCGTGAACAGGCAGCAAGGCGGCTCTGCATGCCTACTTAATCTATAGTCCCAGCCCATCACGGGCCACAGAAAGGCCCAGGATCAACCAGGGAGGCAGTCATGAAGGAGACGCCTGCCCAGTCCCAGCAGGAAGGGCCAGATTTGTTTTGAACAGAATCACAGAAGCCAGATTGAACCATAAAAGTGATATGCCTGTTCTGTTATTAAAATGCTTAAGAAATGACTCATTTGCAAACCAGTGTTCCTAAAAGTGTTCCAGGGCCTGATTTAAATACCCACTCAGTGGTAATGAGCAGCATCCAGGTCTTTCCGATCAGTGTGCTGCTCAGGCAGGTCACATGTGATCTTCACTGCTGTTCTTGGTCGAGACTGGCCCAGCAAGCCTTTTTCTTTTTAAGCCAACAGCACGAGGACACCAGCACTCTCCACTGAGCCCAGAGCACTGGCTCCCTGCCTGGGAGACTCGGAGCTGAAGGTCTGTAGGCTGCATATCCATGTCCCCCTCGACCCCGCAGGGGACATTTCAGTCCACCCAGGCCATGCCCAGGCAGCGGCAAGTCCCCACCTGGCCCAGCCATCACGGCTGTGTGTGGAGGGCAAAGAGGCCACACTCATGAGAGGAGGAAGGGGTAGATGCCAAGTAGATCAACAGTGACCCCAACTCCAGGCAGCGTTGTCATGCCATGGGCTTCCAGATCCCAGCATGAGAGTAAGGCAGGCAGTGCCTGGCCACCCATATTCCTACGGCTAGGACTCTGCGTGGATAGCCTGTTTCCTTGGCCCCTCAAATCCGATGCCTTTCTCATTCTGAGATTTTCTGTTTGAGCCAGGTTTCCTCACTCCTGGAAGCTTCAGTTGGACCTTCTTGCCCCAAGTGATGTTCACCATGTTCCCTGTGTGGCTCCTCCAATCTGCAAAATCATGTCTTTCAGTCTGGGACAGTTCCTTGAATTATTTCCTTCTGTTTTCTTTTTCCTTTCTGGAGCTATTACTGGTCAGTTATTAGAATCCAAGAAGTTTTTAGAATTGCAAGCACAAGAAACATGAAGAAAAATACATCATGGTGCATCATGATGTCTAAAACAATATTGAAAATGAACAAAGATGGAGGACACACACTTCCTGATTTCAAAACATACTAAAAAGCTACAATAATGAAAACAGTGTGGCTCCGGCATATGGATAAATGTATGGACCAATGAAATAGGATTGAGAGTCCATAAGTAAACCCATACATCTATGGCCAACTGATTTTCAGCAAGAGTGCTGAGACCAGTCCATGGGGAAAGAATGTCTCTTCAACAAATGGATATCAACATAAAAGGATGACGTTGGACAACTACCTCACACCATGTACAAAAATTAACACATAATGAGCCGACTGAGTTAAAAGTATAAAACGCTTAGAACTCCTACAACTGAATAAAAGACGATTTAAAAATGGGCAAAGAACTTGACTAGGCATTTCTCTCCAAAGAAGGTATACAAATGAAAGGAAGCCCGATATCATTGGTCATTAGGGAAAGGCAAATCAAGACCATGAGATCCCATGTCACATCCACTACCAGGGCAATAAAAAGAAAAGGAAATTAAGTATTGGCAAGGACAAGGAGAAATTGGAACCTCGTGTATTGTGGTGGAATATAAAATGGTACAACTACTATGGGATACAGTCTGGCAGGTCTTTAATTAGCCATAGAATTAATTACACTACCCAACAACCCCAGTCCTGGGTATCCACCCAAAATTATTGAAAATGGTTATTCAAACCAATACTCATACACGAATGTTTATAGCAACACAATTCACAATAGACAGAATAACCTAAGTGTCCATCAATGATAAACAGGTAAACAAAATGTGGTATATCCACACAATGAAATATTCAGCCAGAAAAAGGAATAAAGTACTGATACCTACTACAAAATGAACCTTGAAAACGTGTTAAGTGAAATAAGCCAGACACAAAAGGCCAGATTGTATGATCCCATTTATCTGAAATATCCCAATAGGTAAATCATAGAGACACACTAGTAAAAGCAGATTAGTGCTGCCAGGAGGGAAGGGGGAGAGGGGAGTGACTGCTTCTGGGGGTGATGAAAATGCTTTGAACTTGGCAGAGATGGATGTAATAAATGCCACTGAATTGTACATTTAAAATTTGTTCATTTTAGGTATGTGAATTTCACCTCAATTAAAAACCAAAATACTCAAGCCACTCTAACCAACCCATCCCCGTGCAGAGAGTGCTGCCGTGTGAGGGTCACTGATGGTCCTTACTTCCTGAGCCCCTTCTGCTGCTCCCCATCTGGATTCTTCTCCAGAAAAGGCACTTCCTTCTGCTTCCAGGCCATTCTGCCCCCATCATGCATGGGTTCATCCACCTGGCTGAGTTCCCTTTTAATAAGGTTTCCTTGTTGAAACATTTTTAAAGAGAAAGTTAAAAAGAAAAGCACATTTTAATAAACCATAGATTCATCCAAGTGTCAGGTGTTAAGGGAAACATTTCTGCTGGCCTTGGGCTAAGTACCCTAAACCTGCTCATTGCTGCCCATAGCAACAGGGCAGTGCCCAGCCCTGGGCAGTTAGAAGGCACACAGGCTTGTTGTTTAGTGTTTGTGGGAGCAAAAGAGCAGGTGGCATGTGCCGGGTCAGAGCTGGACTACTTTGGATTCCAAGGCATTTGCTGACTTTGTCTTCTGGTCCCGCTCCCGGGCAGCCACAAAGTTCAGCATGTCAATGGCGGTGACGACCCCGAACACCATCTGCCTCTTGCTGGACTTCGCGGGGCTGTGGTCTGAGGAGGGAATCAAGGCAGTAGGTTAAAGACACCTCCACAGGGAGCTGCACCTACGCCCGGACACGTCCGAGGCTGAACCAGAGTGTGGCCCTGGGGGACCAGCCTGCCCCTGCCCCAGTGCCTGCAGGCACCTGTGTACCGTGGGAACCCAGGCAGCACCCACGGAAGCCCACCAACAGATGCCTCTGCTAACAGGAGCCATCTGGGCGAAGCTGCAGAGAGCAGGGTGCTAACCTCGCCAAGCCGTACCCATTGGCCACACACCTGTGGTCTGTCTGGGTGCCCAACGCTCAAGTCTTGGCATGAGATTCCAACACCAAGCACACCCACCAGCTACATCGGCACACATCGATGGCCTGTGATTATCTTCAAACCCATGCTTTTCTCTGGGAATTAGAACAAATGCTGGCCCTGGCCCTGGCCCCCCAAAGAGCAGTGAGGATTGTTGAGGTAGTTCGACTTGACTGGCCTGTGGAATGCCCAGATTTGGTCAAACACTATTCTGGGTGTTTCTAGATGAGATCATCAGTTGGATCAGTAGACTGAGTAAAGCGGATTGCCCTCCCTGGTGTGAGTGGTGGACCTCATCTAACTAGTTGAAGACCTGAATAGGAAAAAAAAAAAAGGCTCCCCATGTAAGAGGGGGCTTTTCCAGCCTTTGGACTTGAACTGAAACATCGGCTCCTTCTGGGTTTTGAGTCTGCCCACTCCCCCTGCAGATCCTGGGACTTGCCAAACTAGTCATGTGAGCCAGTCCTAGTAAAATACAAATCCCTCTCTGTACACACATCCCACTGGTTCTGTCTCTCTGGAGACCCTTGACTGGTCATCACGAAGCATAGAGGGCCAGGTGGAGCTGAGGGGTGGGAGGGAAGTGCCCAGGTCACATTTTTATCCCGCCAGACCCCATCCCAGCAACTTCACGGCCATCTGTCCCTAGGGTGGGGGTGCAGCGAGACAGAGGAGCCAGGCACCTGCTGGCCTATTCGGAGCACCTCAGGAAAAAACACAGGGAGCAAAGAGGAGACCAGCTCCCCACATTTCAGGGACTTCGAGGCCAAGTGGCACTTTGGAGAAGCGTGTCCCCTGCAGGGGAGGGTGTCTGTGCAGCCTCTGCAACCTGGCCCTCCAGAACCTCGGAGACTCAGGCACAGAGGAGCTGGCCACCTTTGTAAAGGTCAGAGTCTGTTATGACCCCGCAGTTCTGCCAACAGCACGAAGGCAGCAGTGGACAAGGTATGGGGTGTACTGGCCCTGAAATGGGACTCACTCTGGGGGGTGATCATCTATGAGTAAACGTGAGGTAAGGAAGAACCTCCCACCCAAGCTCTGGGTTCTGGGAGCCCGGATGCCCTCCTTTACCCTCGGAGCCGCAGAGCCATTTCCGAAAGGGAGACAGCGGGCGTACATACCTGCAGGCCCCCCCACCACTCCTGTCAAGGCCTGGTCCCGTGCTGTGGAGCCAAGGACGGGAGAGGGGTTAGGCTTGGCCACTCAGGCCCCGAGACGCCCTCAGCTGGGTGGGGGCGGGCTCCAGGGCACTCCCAATTCTGATTACGACCCTCACCCTTGTGGGCACCCAGGCCTGGCCCACAGAGGGGTTCCTCTGAGAACCGTGCCCAAGGCTGAGGATGGCTAAGTCACCGCCACTGACTCCAAAGGCCTGTGAGGCTCCAGCGCCTCGCTGCCCCCCAGGCACTCGGCTGCAAAGCGCAGGCGGCAGCCTGGACTGGGCCTCAGGGGCCAGGGCCCCCAGGGCTCCCCCAGCCCTGCCCCCAGCCCCACTTACACTGGATCTGCTCGTGGACCACCAGGGCGAAGTGGTCCATCTCCAGGATGCGCGAGAGCATGCCCAGCGGGTCAGTCAGGCGGATCTGGAAGAGAGGCCGCGGTCAGCGCTCACCAGGCCCTTGGTGGAGAGCAGCGCAACGGAACCTGAACTGTTCGGACAGCACGTTCTCCTGGGGTCTCTCCTTGTTACGGGGGTGGGGTGGGGTGGGGGGGACGACACTGCAGGAGCCACATGACAGGTGACGGCATTGGGGATGAAATGGCACAAATATACGGATTCCAGTGACATGTCAGCTGGGGGGGGGCTCACGTTGTGGTGACCCCCAACCATAAAATTATTTTCGTTGCTACTTCATAACTAATTTTGCTACTCTACTGATCCTAGGTTTGGGCTCACTTTTAGTCCCACTCACTGGGAGGTTGGAGAAGGCAGGTGTGAAACGGGGACCAGGGAGAGGGGACGCCCCAATGGCACTGCCCTCAGGGACAGAGAGCAGGGTCCAGCTGGCTCTGCCCAAGCCTATCAGAGGGTGGCCAACATTGTCTCAGAAGCGCAGGCTTCTCCCAGAACATTCTATTTATTAAATCACTGTGTGTGCCAGGTGTTCTTAAACAAATGCTTCATGGGGAAATGAGGGCCCAATGTTAGGAAACAGACCCCGCCCCCCCCGCCCCCGCCCCCGGTGTGGCCAAAATACAGCGGGTGTGGGAGAGCCCTCACGGATGGGCCTTTCCCCACCGGCTTCCCTGCAAACCTGGGCGAATTCTCAGGTGTACAGGTTCGAGAGGGGCAGCCAGCACTGACCCAGCTGGCACGGGAGCAGTGCAGAGGGTCGGGGACCTGGCCCCCTTGCCCAGGAAGCGCTGTGCCCGCCTCCAAGGACACAAGCGGGTCTTGGCACCCATGGCCCCAGCGGATGGGAGCTCATACCTGCTTGAACTGCTTGTAGATGACTTTGTGAACTTGGTCTGACGGCTGCACCTTCCCAGCAAGCAGGCTTGACAGCATGTTCCCCAGAGTCACCATCCCCAGGATCACTCTGGGGGTGAGGGGTGGGGGAGGGTCAGTGCAGGCCCTCCCTAAGACCGCAGGACCCGCCCACAGCCGTCCTCCCTCGGCGCCAGAATGCAGAATTCCTCTCAGAATTCAGCAGAAACCTGCCGAGAGCCCACGCGTGGCATGACAGTGATCAGATGCCCTGCCCTGGACCTGCCCATCCAGTGGCAGACAGTAAGCCAATGAGTCCTTTGGGTATTTCCATTTGACAAGTGTCAGTCAGGGGGCTATGAGGCGTCTCCTCCCGGCCCAGTGCAGTGGGTGGGACACGGGTTAACATGGCCACCCCCCACCCAGCCAGTGCTTAGGAACATGTCCAGTGGGCAGCCCGGCGCTCTGGACATCCCTGAGGGACTGAGGTCAGCCAGACAGACAGCCCTGTCCTGGGGTGTGGCTGAGACTGACCCCGATTCATCGACCACGGGCACCTGGTCGAAGCCCTTCTCCCGGAGGATCTCGATGGTGTGTTTGCAGGTGACCGTGGGCAGCCCTGT